TGGAAGGTAAGCAGCTTCCAACATACCTTTGATGATTTGCGTCTCTTCAGGTCGTTGCCTTTCTCTTCAGTGACATCACCCTTTTCATTTAACTGTGGAATTTGCACAGTGACTCTTTTAGCATAGTTTGGGATGGTTTTTCTAGGACACAGCTCCTGGAACAAACCAGTTGAGGCAACAATAACTGCAGAGTCCGTGCACACCAGGGAAGCTGCTCATGTGCTGATGCTTCAGGATGTCCGTGGGATGCTGAAGTTACGTGCACAGCTGAGCTGCACACGCTGCCTTGTTGTTGTTTGAGACCTGCCTTGCATTTATGACTTTGTCTGTCTAAAGGTTTAACTTCTTGTGAAAAGTAATTGCTTTTTTTTTATTTTCCCCATACTCTAGTCTTAAGCTTTTAATCATCAGCAAGATTTTGAGCGCGTCTCATCTTTGGTGAGCACTCAGTTGGTTCAGAACCCAAACCCACTGAGTTGAGAGGTTTTCAAAACACCTTGATCAACATTTAAGATTCATTTTGAGCATGTGAAACCTTCCATGAAGCCTTCTTTGAAGGTTAGCACAGAGCTGAGGTTCTGTGCTCGCTTCACAAATCAAAGCATGCAAAGGCTCCAAATTGTCTCTTGGGGGATGTGCCTTTACACCTCTCTCAGTGTCCTGCTAACCAGGACAAGCCTTTTCCATGAATTCTGCTTTCCTGTGTCCCAACCACCACCTCCCACTCCTCACAGAGACATTGCATTTCCATTGCCCTTTCCAGAGCAAATAAAGCTCATTTCTGAGCTGCCTCAGGGAGCTGTTGTAGCTCTGCCCAATTTCCACTATTCTAAGAAGTCCAGTATTTTCATTGTGACCAAACTCTGCTTTCTTGATGACAAGAATGTTTTGATCCATTTTTGGAGTCACAGGCTCTCTAAAGGTCAGTAAAAGCTGTTCTCTTGTGCTTACTTGAGCCAGTGTGAACAGGTAACCTGGTTTTGCTATGCAGATGGAGACTTGCAGAGTTGGGAGGCAGCCTCTAGTACAAGTATCTCCATGTAAACTCTTAAGCAGCAGGAAAACACCCTCTTTTTAAAGTGCAGGAGCCCAGGTGCCATACCTTCAGCTGCAGGAAATCCTGCTGTACTGTGGCTCGACACTCACGTTCCTCTTTGACTGCTCCGGCCAGAAAAGCCCAGTAACTGTTCACATCAGAGCAGGCACTGAGGGATTTTTCATCCAAAAACCCTGAGAAATTAAAGGGACAGATTGGCTAACCCCTGTCCACACTGGAGACCATTCCTTACCCCCAAGGGAAACCACCCTGGGAAAATCAGAGCAGCTTTACCCAGGATGTACAGGGACAGCTGCAGGGGCAGGCAGCGGGTGAAGTCCTGGCACTGGGTGACTTCAGAGCGTGACTGGAGAGATGCAGGATCCATGGTGACATGGTGATCAGCTACAAACACAGGTGAGTTGTCCTCTGCATCAGGGCCCTCCTGAACTCAGTGTTTTGGGCTGGGAGCACGTTGCTGGTGGTGGATGACCTGGCAGACAGGGGAATTCACAGCCCCGTAAGTGTCTGGGTTTGGGTGGCCCTTCACAGCACTGTTGTTAGTGAAGCCCTGCAGGAGTTGGTTGGTGTTAGTCTGATTCTTCTGCTCGTTACTTTGGTGCTGTATTAACCAAAGGAAAATGCTGAGAACGCTCCAGGTGTGGCAGGACAGCTCACACCAGTGGGGTCTGAGGGGCAGCATGACAACTCTTCCCCCTCACCCCTGCCCTGGAGAGCACTGAGGGTTCTCCACAGCTGGAAACATCAGGGAGGCAGAGGGGCCACAGGAGACCCTGAGTGAGCTTGGTGGGGATGAAGTGCAGCAGTTTTCTCTTTCACAAGGCACTTTGCTTCCTCCACATCTCCCTATAGCATGAGAGGGTGACTGTCCCAGACTCTCAAACCCACCTCCTGCCAAGGACGTAGCACTGCTTTACTGAAAAGACTGGGAAACCTTCTCTTTCTTTAGCCGTAAGATTTTCTAGTCATACGATTAGAGCTACGACACTGCTGAAGGAAAGAAAGGGGGACTGATGTCTCTGTTGTCCCCAGGACAAGGGAAGGTCAAACGCAGCGAATGCCCCTCTCACGTTCGTAGTTCCTGCTGCTGTCCGCGGACACCTCAAGCATCTCTGCCCCACTCCAACACCCCTCAGAGGGTCCGCGGTCACCCCGCAGCCGAGCACACGGCCAGGTCAGCTCCTGTCCGGCA